AGATATCTGTAATTCAGTTTTGACTAGTCAGAATGACGTCATAGATATCTGTAATTCAGTTTTGACTAGTCAGAATGACGTCATAGATATCTGTAATTCAGTTTTGACTAGTCAGAATGACGTCATAGATATCTGTAATTCAGTTTTGACTAGTCAGAATGACGTCATAGATATCTGTAATTCAGTTTTGACTAGTCAGAATGACATCATAGATATCTGTAATTCAGTTTTGACTAGTCAAAATGACATTACAGATATCTGTAATTCAGTTTTGACTAGTCAGAATGACGTTACAGATATCTTAAATTAAAATTCATACTAGTCACATTGACATTACTACTAGTCAAAATGACATTATAGATATCTATAATGGTAATTCCGGATAGTTGGACTTAGTGATTAAATGTTAAAACGGCTTGCCATACGCGCTCGCTGGGAGGAGGAGGTCACCCCTGACATGCAGGCAGAAGAGAGGCTGCAGAATGACGATGAAACCGAAACTTAAAAAAGTAACGCCGATAATGGCGGAGCTTACTATTATTACGGTGTTGATTAAACTTGCCTTGGGTTGTTTAATACTGGGTCTCGGTACCGATCCCTGCCCAGGCGTTTGATGAAGGCTCCTGGTTGGCCGGTGATAGATTGGTATCAAACTGTCATTATAGCCCGTCCGAGCGATTCATGCCAGGCTCGAATCAAACCCCCCCACTGGTGGTCCGCATCGTCTCATTTGATGTTGCCCAATAAGAATCCAGACTGTCATAAAAAAGACGCATTTTTTTCTCAAAAGATGGAGGTGTCAAAGCCGTGATGACAGGAAAGAGGCCGAGGAGAAAACCGCAAAATCACCTGAGGCAGTGCGGGCGGGGCATCAGGGCCAAATTAGGAGCGCACATGGCCATGGCCCTCATGGCCCTTGTGAAATTCCTGCCCTGGCTGTCACTTTACATAGTTGAAGTAATTTAATGTTCTTAACATTACGTTACATACTTAATGTACAGTAATATACTTAACGTAAAGTTACACAGGTTATGTTTAAGCAAGTTAAGTTACGAAGGTTAGGTTAAGGAAAAGAAACACGGTTGGTGTTGTCACGTTATGTACTTGATGTAAATTATTAACATACCTAACATAAAGTTACTTACTTAACGTTAAGTTTCATACTTAATGCAACATATTTAAGTGAAGTCGCATAGGTTATGTTAAGTTACACAGGCCAGGTTAAGGAACAGAACCTGTTGTGTGTCCTCATGTTATGTACCTAATGTAAAGTTACATGCTTTATGTAGTGTACCTAATATTAAGTTACATACTTAATGTAATATATTTAACATAAAGTTGCGTAGGTTAGGTTTAGGGAAAGAAACATGGTTGAGTGCCATTACACTACTTACTTAATAAAATGTTCTTTATGTAACATACCAAATTTAAAGTTATGGTGGTTATGATTAGGCAAGTTAAGTAACAAAGGTTACATCAAGAAAAAGAAACATGGTTATGTGTTGTCACGATATGTTCTTGATGTAAAATATCAGCCATAATGTAATGTACTTAATGTAAAGAAATGCAGGTTAGGTGCAGAAAAAGAAACATTGTTGTGCATCCTCCCCTGATGTATGTAACTACTTTACATGACAGAACCCATTTTGGGGAAAAAAATTATTTGACCTGTGCTTTGATTTTTTAGTTTGGTGAGAGCTTAAAATTGATGGATGTCTTTTCAACTCCCCCCCTCCATTTCCAAGTAGTATAATTTTTGGTGCTGCTGTCATAAAGACAAATAGCTCAATGTCCAATACCACAGTTTCTACGGTTACTTTGGCCATTTCAGCTACAGGAGATAGTTCCTGCAAAGAAATTGCATTGATACTCTTTGGTAACTGCGGATAGCTACCGGGCATAACAAATGCGCTATCCTCTTCCTGTTTTGGTTCTGCAATGGTCTATGCACTTCCTATGTGCAGTGAATGGAGCCTTCATTTTCCCAGAGATTGTACCCGGTGGTGGGCAGAACTGCACAGTGGAAGCAAATCTAAATGCTGATAGTGTCATTATTCTATCCCCATTACATTGTGCAATCAACATTAACTTCATAATGATAAGTTAAAGCAAAAATCGTGTGTATTTCCACTTAAACAGGTGTTCCATTCCAGCTGTCACTGACGCCAGATATTCCTTTGTGTGTCTATACCTGGCTCATGAGGAGGTGAACCATTCAGGGAAGTCAGATACTGTAAAATAAGCTCCTGTTATTGTTCCCATGCTGCAGTTTCTGCAGTTGCCATGGTCACATTGCCGAGCCGTGGTGGAAAGTTGATAAAGTTAAACCATCATAAACTACAAATGCAAGTGGCTGTGCACGGACATGAGAGAAGAAGCTGCCCTTTCTCTCCTCGCCACTGTGCTGACATTTAAAACATTAAGGCCGCTGCAGTAACCACTCACTGTCTGAAAGCACCATTATAAAGCTTTTAGTAGAGAGTGAGTTGTCTTACAACACCTTACAAGTACAGGTAATAATAGAAGTTATTACGATTATGTATGCACAAATATGATGTTGAAATCAATACATGATTGAAATATGATGATATCACTTATAATCCATTTGCATTAGGCTGTAAGTGAACGCTGGCAAGCCACTTGATGAATTGAACAATACATTTACATATAATTGAAGACCAAAACCTGCTAAACTAAGACTTGCTCTATATTGTAACTTTACTTTCATAGACTTTGGAGCCTCTACAAGTCACTATAGACAAGACATTTGGACTGTCACAGCAATGAAAAGCTCTTCAAGCCAACAAGGGGAGTGAGCAGATCTAAAGTCAGCTATAGAAGCCTTAAACACTTAAACCAAATATTATATATGTTAGAACTAAAAGAGTGCAGTATGGGGTTTTGTTTCTAATGTGATAAATTTAAAAAGAGCTCACTGAATTGAAATTTTATTAGTACCAGAGGTGCTGCTAAAGCTCTACAAGGTAAAATAAATTTCGCAATCCTTAGGAGAGGCTGACTTCTTTTCTTTTTTTTTTAGATATTTTTTGAGGCATTTTTAGCCTTTATTTGATAGGACAGACACGCGTGAAAGGGGGAGAGAGAGAGAGAGAGGGAGTAACATGCAGCAAGGGGCCACAGGCTTGAGTCAAACCCGGGCCGCTGCGGCAACAGCCCTGTACATGGGGCGCCTGCTCTACCATTAAGCCACAGACACCCCAGAGAGGCTCACTTCTACGGAGCTAGAACAGTGACATTAAGTTTAGACATCTAAGACAAATGTGGCTCTGATAAAGGTAGAATTGGCACTGAAGAAGGTTTCACCAAAAAAAACACAGATGTTAAAAATTATTTTGTTACACTAACAGTTTTTATGCCTCCGCCACCAGAAATGTCCGTCCCTCAATCGTTTTATCCATTCCATGCAATGTCTCAGGAACGCATAAAGGGAATTTCTTCAAATTTGGCACAAGGGTTGACTTGAACTCAAGGATCAACTGATTCATTTTATGGTGGTCAAGGATGAGGTTGAGTCAAGGATAAACTAATTAGAATTTGGTCGTCAAAGGTCAAGGGCTCCTATGGAGGACTGGCACAACATAGAGCATTTGATAAGGCTGAACATTTTTGTTAGATATGTAGAGTCTGTATTGATAACAAAACACTGCCCATGTTATGTTGAGGCCTACCCCTCCCCACAATCTGTAAAACACAAAATGACAAAGTGAAATCACAGGTGAAAATATCACTTTTGTGAGCCTTTGTAATTTAGAAACATGAACTCAACATATACATCTTTTTTTTCCAGCCATTTCTGTCATGTTGTGCAACTCAAGCAAAACAGCTGTGGCTCAATTTGCAAAGACAAATCTAAAATTTAAACAGTTCCACTAACAAATAATTAACAAATACAGATACAGCAAATACAGAAAGGCACACAGAAAGAATCAAACAACATTAAAAAACAACACTGTTACTTAACCTTTCTCTTTTGTGGGTGATATCCAGGGCCAACACAAGCCTTTTTGGGGCCCAATACAACACGCCCCCCCCCCCAAAAAAAAAAAAAAAAAGTAAAACCAGCACATTAGCATATTATGACATTAAGCTTGGTGACACTTGTTGTCAGCCCCAAAAAATTTCAGTTCATCAAAAATTTTGAATCAAACTTTGTGGTGAAGAAATCTGCAGAACAACTACGTAAAAGTTAGACTAGATCAATTACATTTAAAAGTTTGACAGATCTGAACAATATGTGGTAAAATTGAATCAAAATCAGTTTTCATTTTATGGATAGTGCTATTATAATTGATATAAAGACAAATAAATATTTAGTTAAAAATATACCTCCTGATTTTCTATAATGCCCAATAGCACTCATTAATTTCCAGATGTCCTCCAGGCTCCTAGCTTATGTTTGGTCCATTACTGTTAATTCTTCACAGAATTGGTTAGGAAAGTTTTCACCAGACAGTAATTTTTTTCTTTTTTTTTTTCTTTTTTGAAGGTTCATTTTGCCATGGCAAACTTTTGTGAACTGTGGGAATTAAGTGAAACTTTTTCAAATGGGATTTTAACCACAGTTGTGTAGAATTTGTTGATTTTGTGGGTGCCATGAGAAGCTTTACTGTGGTGTATCTGTTAATAAACAATTACTTTATGAGAAATGAAAATACATTTTCACATTTCTAATTACACTGTAAACCCCAATTCGCTCACTCAACTTAAATTTAAACAGCTTGCACTCAGAACCTTTAGTTTAGTACAATACAGTAACATAAAAGTTTTGAGTATACCAGGCACAAAAATAAATGCGTCACATGACCCTTATCTAACAGGAATTTTATGTCAGTTGTTGCTTGAGCATTGAATTCTATGTCATATTAACATAAAAACATTTGGTACACATTTTACAACATTTTTTTTCTAAAATAAGGCAAAGAGATGAAGGCTGAACCTGGAAGTGCTCTTTATTTTGCCTTGCCTAAACTTTTTAAAAGACACTCTTATATCCACACAGGCAGGAGGTCACTAACTGTGTATACGACATAACTCGTGGTGGAAAATGTTTTTTACCACAACATTAACTGTAACCCATTAGAAGCATTGTAAAACACATAAACATTAATCACTGTGTAATGGGTAACGTGAGTGATTTAAAACACATTTAAACACAGTTTTCTTCAGCTTATGGCCTTAAACACATTGTCTCATGGCATGCTGGAAAACTCCACCCATCTAGCCCCAACACATCACAATATGTTGTCACAATAAGAGCACAATGATAGTGTTATTTATTGACCTTCAACTTATTAGGTGAAATCAGCTTCATACATTTTAGTCAACTTAGCTCAAAACTCAAAAATTGTTGACTTACCATTAACAAAATTATGTCAAGAGAGATGAGTTTTTGTGTCGAGTGAACATAAAGTTTTTGTGTCATTTTGACAATCCTGGGCATTTATGTAGACTTTACATTAGAATTTTATGTCATGGATGGATTGGGGTTAACAGTTTAACTCATGGGCTTCCCAGGCAGCCTCTTATGCCTATCAATCAAAATGTTAAGCATTACCATTTTGTGCTTACATTCACCTGTGCTTTACATCCTTGTCCACTTGATAACAGAATTAGTGGTATCCTTACAGTTATATACATCTTTTTCATTGTCAGTTTTTATCCCAACATGTCAGCCAGCTGGGGTTGGCTGCTGAACTGTACACTTTCTTTCTTCCATTAACTGTTCTTCGGGTTTTCTCAACTTTGTGGCCGATGTCCCAAAATCCTCCTGACACCTGACATTAACAAGTTTACGTGTGGTCAATTATATTTTTGTTTGGCACACTTGTGTTTTCCACAAACTTATATTTGGAACTTCTGAGTATGAGTTTTTATAACAAACATATGACTCACAATTAAATATCAAACTCCCCTGTGTAAGCCAAAGGTTGAAAAAGTCCATCTTGGGTTGTGGCTACTTGTTTTAGGTCCTGTTCTGCTTACACTGTGGTTGTACGGGAGGTAAATGTCCCATTGCGAAACACCATATCAGAAGCCATACAGTCCTTAGGAAAATCCAGAGGGCTACATGTTGCTTGTCTCTTCAAAGCGACAGCACAGTAATCCACCTGTTCCGCGTCCAGTCCAGTCTCCAGCCACCGGAAACACACAATGCGTTGAAAGGAACGCCGGAAATTGTCGGACACAAAGCCATACAGAATAGGATTGGCGCCACTGTTGGCGTAGCTGAGGATGACAAAAAGCTGAGTGACCATTGGGTCTGGGGGCCGGTGGAAAACGCTTACCAGCTGGACAATGTAGAAGGGCATCCAGCAGAGGACAAACACCGCCACAACTAGCAGCACCATGCGTGTGATCTTCTTCTCCGAGCGCCGTCTTTGAAGCCAGCCTGCTTTTAGTCCCACTGCTCGCATCCTGGCCACCATTAAACAGTAGCATAAGCAGATGGCTCCGACCGGCAGCAGAAACCCTAACAGGAAGGTATAGACCACAAATGCTTCTGACCACGCCGATTCAGGCCACAAGAAATTACAATCCACACCACCGTCCTGTGCAGGGACAGTGTCTGCAAAGATAATGATGGGCAGGATGACTATGAGTGATAGCCCCCAAACACAGACATTGACTACTTTGGCTACAGTGGGTCTGCGGTAGCGGGCAGCCTTGATAGGATGGACCACTGCTATGTAACGATCCACACTTAGCACAGTCAGGCAAAAGATTGATGTAAACATATTGATGCCATCTACGCTCAGCACCAGTCTACACATCAGTGACCCAAAGGGCCAGTGACGGACAGCAGCTGATGTGGCCAGAAAAGGAACACTTAACATGAACAGCTCATCAGCAATTGCTAAGTTGAGGATGTAAATGTTAGTGGCTGTTTTCATTTTGGCGTATTTCAGAATGACATAGATGACCATGGCATTGCCAATAAGGCCTACACAGCAGACAAGAGCATAAATGGATGGAATGATGATTTTACTGGCGTCAGGCTCCGGGTAGTAGTCCTCATAGTCCATACTTGTGTTATAGGGCAGTCCTGTTGGATAGGACCCATAGTCCTGGCTCCCATTGAAATCCATGGTCCCTTTTGGTGGGTATGTGATGCTAACTTTAAGTTTGAATGATGTTAGCTAATAAAGAGATTAAGTTGAACATTGGGATTCTTGGAATTTGTAATACCTCAGATTACCAACCTTGATCAACAGTAGTTTGTGCACCCCCCCCCCCCCTACATTTGCCTAGACAGGGATGGTAATACTTTATTATTTATTCAATAAAGCTGTTTTAGCAACCTTGCGGGAGCAACATTTTCCATAGGCCCATGCCTGCCAAGTGGCTGCAGCTATAGGAGTGGACAGAGACCACTGGATAGTGTAGATATCTAAAAACCTTCTACACTCGCTGACACTTTGGAAAGACCTCATAGGAGCTATGGTTTTTTGAATGAATCTTAGAGGATTCAAATTATAGTGAGTTCTGTAGTAGCAGACTATTTAGTAGAATATAGTGAGATACTGAGGGATTCCTTGAGCTGCTGGAATGACAGCCAGCCTGGAAGTAGTGTCAGGAATCCCTATTGTTCTTTTGTTTTTTATGACAATCTGCAGATGATGTTCATATAACAAAAGCATTTATATATGTAGCTTCTTTGTTAATATCGCCCAAAAAAGATGTCCTTAATTTCCTCTTCTCACAGTCAATGTGTCCTTGATTCTCCTGGGTTTCTTGTGCTTGTCAGTGAATTCTCATTGTAAGGTCCACACAACCTTTTTATCATTCTTTCCATTAAGCGATAGAAAAACAGGGTATGTGGCAACTGCTCTCAAGGTACTACTGTCCACTGTGGGCAATCATGTAGCATTAAATTGTCTCTTACAACTAAACACCTTATTGCCCATCTGTTCCAGTATATAGTAGGTGCAGAGTTCTGATCAGAAGCAAGGCACTTGGACACACAGTACGTGGAAAACACTCCATCTGGTGATTGAAGAGGGTGTTCCAGCAGGTCAAATCAAATTCAGAGTTCACTTAAAGGTGGTGCTGCTTGGCTCCTGCACTCAGGTTCTCTGGTTGCATCTCACAGCCATTGCAGATTGTAAAGAAATAATAAGGTTTCTGCTGAAGCTTCCCTTCAGGATACATTGTGCTCCCATTTTCTGTGACCTGAATTATAAAAAACCTGTGAGAAAACAAAGAAGTGTCACTTAGTTTGCCTCTGACAGACACCAAGTACAACATCAAAGTACAAATGAGTCTTACCTCAGAGGACCTGACACTGCATTAGTTTCTTTTCATCATTTAGAGGAATGTAAGACATTTCTGTGTCTGTGTCAGTATGTATTGTTTCACAGGCTCCAAATCTTCTAGACTCTGTCATATTCCCATGTAGGCTGACTTCTGTCATACTGATTCCCTATCGGCCATGAGTAATAATTGAGAGGTACTGTTTAAGCGCAACCCAATCACCAGAATAGGCATTGGCATTGTGCGTCTCTGCAAACTACATATACATTTTGTACATTATTATGTGGTGGATGTGTTGAAACTATGCGTCTTTATGTTTTAACTGTACAGTGGTGACGTTAAGGAACAAAAACACACTTGAAAAGATAATGTTTTGGCCCAAAACATCCAGTTTTTGTGGCACAGTCCTCACTGGAAACACAGCGATGTCTCATAAAAAAAAAAAGTCAGTGCGGTGTGTCCCTCACCATTGGCCCTCATCGGTGCTAGTTGACTTTTTTTCTTGATGATGCAGCATGTGGAATCGTTGACGTTGATCAGTTTAGTAGAAACGTTTCCTGATGGTTTATGTTATCATTTACTGGCATACAGTAAATATGCTCTGTTCTTTCCACATTGGCTAACTGGCTAACTAGCGCCAAGATGGTCCCCTGGTTTCCCTTTCTGAATGACAAACAGACTACTGCCATCTACTGATATGGAGGGGGATTTCTTCTCATTTTGGCGCAGTACATATGTGCTTGTTGGCTAGCTTGTTGCCGTTAGTTCTCTGAAGTCAGTTTGGTGTGTGTGGACCTTAAAGTCAAGAATACACTGTGCAATTTTGGGCTGTCCCAGACAAAAGATAACCAACACTGCTCTAAAATGGTGGTCCTACATCACACAATGAGAGAGGTTCAAGGGCGGCCGTTGGCATGGTCTTGTGATCAAACGCAGAGAGTCAGAAATTTGGCATGACCATTTCACTGTGTGACTGCTGATGAGACCTACATCTACTAACCAGCCAATAGAAATGCAGCATGAAATGACACGCTGACGCTAAACCCAAACAAACAGACGGATAGCAGCTCGCCATGGAGGCAAAACACGCTAAAAGAAATATGTGGGATTCCAGCAAAGAGGAAAACCTTGTAGAGTTGTGGCAGCAGAAGCCTTACCTGTATGATGTGTCCTCCAGCTCCTACCATGATAAACCATGATTACCATGGTAAAGAAGAACAAAGCATGGACGGAAATAGTGGCAGAGTTACAGCTTCCAGGTGAGCAACCTAGCAGCTAGCAAACACACTGCAGTATATAGAGCCCACAAAACTTTAGGTTATTTAATAATGTGACCACAGTTGGAGAAGTAATAACCTGTGCAGCATCCTTGCGCACTCAGTATGGGAAGCTATTGCATCGTACATCCTACCCTGTGATTCAGTAGGTGCTGTCACTGTACTGTCTGCATACATCAAACTTGATGTTGTACCCAAGTTTATTAGATCCATGTCCAGTGTAGCTGCACTAAACTTATAAGACTGCTGAAATCTCACAGTCTGTAGGAGGCTTTAGACCACCTTCTTAGGGTCGGAAGAACTCCTGCCTTCCAGACTAGGACTAGTGTTGCTGATTTGTGGTTGTCAAAGTACAATACCAACATGGTGTCTGTGACAGGAATATGAATTATGTAACCTTTAGACATTAAACATTAGCCACATCAATTTCAAAAAGGTACAAATTATGACTTGAAACTTGAACATGTGAGCTTACCACGAGTGTCATTTTCAGTTGCTAGCAACAGTTAATGATCTTCATGATGAATATGTCAAATAAAGGGCTCTAGTTTAGTTGTGCAAGTGCAACAACAACCACAAGATAGTAGTTTTTTTTCTTGAGCGCACAGTGATGTTAAAAACAAAGAATAAAGGTGTATTTTGGCATTAATGGCTCATGCTGTGTCATTGTTTTACAGCTGTTTCTGTTGCAGTGAGTGAGTGACTTTATTGCTATTTTCTGGCCTCACTATTGATAAATGTGGCAGAATAGATATTAAATTAACTGACACAAAAAGAATATGAGTATAAGGCATGATGAATATCAGCACCATCACTCACTGTTCATGATGTCTCATCTGTGTTGTTTTGTCTTTTACCTCTTTATGGACCCATAGTGATGATTCATCTGAGTTTAATTTTTTTCTGTATTGAGTGACTGAGTAAATGTAATGGTTTCTCTAACTATAAACATTAAGTCCTCTATCAGACCCCCTATAAGATGATTTACAACATCTCTACTTCCCACAGACTAAGAAAATTAAACTTATTATTTGATTTACAAGATAAGGGGCAGCAGTTAACTTAGTCCATGGGAAGTGGAGGGTCACCGGTCCAGACAAGGACCAAGTATGGTATTGCCTCCTGGGCACTACCAAGGTATCCTTGAGCAAGGCATTGAACCCCCAACTGCTCAAGGCACCTGTCCAAAGCAGCCCCCTCACTCTGACAGCTCTCAGTTTAATGCATGTATAGGTCCTCTTCGTGCATATGTGTGTACTTTGAGCCTGTGTGTATATGACAACAGAGTGAAAAAAACTGAAATTTCCCTTTGGGGACTGATAAAGTATATCTTCTTTAATCCAAAACAAATGTGGGTCTCTTCAGTCTACATCAGATCTCTGTGTTTGCTATCTCCATCAAAATGGGTGGTGTAGGAAGCTGGTAATCCATGCTGGTTGTAATTTCTTTGCTTTTACCTAACCCTACATCCTCCTCTGTGTGGTTGCACTCTTTTGTAAAATGCATTCAACAATGATTTTAAACAGAGAAAAATCAATAATTGGGTATTAAAGTGTAACAATTCAAATCTTAACTCACTAAAGTGATCGTTTAGCCTTCACCCTATATATTTTTTTTTCACTAATATGCAATGCTAGATAGTAGGAAAGAATTGCTATTGCCAATCTTTAATATTAGTGGGAGTATGAAGGACATTTCACAGTGATGCATAATGATGGATTACAACTACAGCTTTACTGACTTCCCCTAGAAGACGTGGGCTGTGTCTTCAGGACTTCAGAGTTGCAGTGTCTGATGCTGTCTTATCATTTTGCGGTACAGATATGTTAATATGTACATATTTTAATACATGACAAGAATGATAGCAGACAAGCAGAGATAGCAGTTTAACAGTCTTGACAACTGACAGCCCAATCTCATTCTGGGGATGTCAAATACTGACATTTTGTCATGCCCCTTGGCGTGCGATATCGACATCTATGGCATCCTTTAGCATCCTTTAGCATCTTTATAAGATGCACCAGGCTTTCAGCTAACTTCAATGTAAAAACCCATCCGTAGCCATACTTGATGTTGAGAGCACCTGAAGTACTATAAAGAACAAATGTACAAACAAAAAAAATACAAGTTTCACCCAGGAGACCACAGTTTGTGTCCTGTGTGAAACAAAAGTCAATCTTTTTTTTTTTTTTTAAGTAATGTAACTTACGTACCTATGCCCTGCATGACACCAAAAGTTGCTGTTGTATTAAAATCACATTGCACGATTTATTGTAGTTGCACACTTCTGTCACTCATGTGATGCCTTTAAGTCACTGTTATAGTTACTGTTACATAATAAACATACTTATTTTAACCCAAAACATGATCTCTTTTCTAATAGCCAAGAATTTTTGGTGCCTTAACCTAACGGTAACTGTTTCACAACATTAACCATGTGTTACAATGTGTTTCAGCTGTGCTCCACAGAATTACTAAAATGTGCCATTTGGTTGCTATGAGGGAGAGACAAGCTACATGTAGTGTTAATTTTTTTGACAAAAACTATGACAAAAAATGTTCATCAACAACCTTTTTTGAATGATGAAAACAAGATGATGACAAGGTAAAAACAGATCTTGATAATAAAAACTCAGACAAAATCTATGTTTCATTTTCGTTGACAAGACTAGACGTGACAAAAATGTTAATGATGGAACAGCTGTGGTTGTAATTATCCTCAGATGCTGCATGAGCAACAAACTCCAGTGAATACTCTGCACCAGGATGTTACGCTAGCCAGCAAAAACACTCTGGGGCAGTATCAGCCATTAGTACGAGTTATGAGCTGTAATTCAGAAGCATATAATCAGGTGTGTGTCTCTGACTGTGGATGGTGGAGCTGCTGAATGGCTTGTGGAGTTTGTTAGCAGTTAGCTCCACTAGTTAACCACTGAATGGCAGTGGAGAAAGCAGCCACCAACTGCCAGATTTCACATCTGTTGATCCCCTCAGGTATAGTGTATTTACAGATTTTATGCTTACATAGAAAAAGCCTATAGTTTTGTTGTAGATAGCTTCCGACTATTAAAAAAATAAGAATAGAGAACCATAACAGACGGGTTTGCCTTGTTGAGGACATTTATAGCAAATGGCACTGTTTTTAAATAAATAATATTCTTTTTGTTATCATATATCTTTTAAGACAGGTATATTTTCAACTAGGCAATCTGAATCACTTGCAACGGCCCGCTCTCTCTACAGGCCCCTCCATCCAAGGAGCCGCAGTGCAGTTGCACTCCCACATCCAATCAACATCGGCTACATCCATATTACAGCCCACACATGGGATCCAATTAGAACCAGAGACGGTGTTACTGTTGAAACTGCTGACATGTCAAATCTCCACTCACCCAGAAGCATTTCACTGAATGCCTCCTCTATGTTAACATCTACTCTGTGTGCGACATATGACTGGTAATCTGGATAGTGATGGCTACAAACTATGTTTACATGCAACTCTTTAGCAATGTGATTTTTGGGTAATGTGATAACTAGTCAATAATCAATGCAAACGTTTAAGAGCTGGGTTTGACTACAATATCCCTGGGTAGCACTGAAAGGTTGCCGCCATACATAACTAAAAAAGAAAAAGGAAATTCTTTCCACCTGGTAAGTT